ACAGAAGATAATCTGTCACAAAAGACCGCAGAGGACATTCATCAAAGAAGCCCAACGTGCAAGGTTAAGGTGACAGAGCCCCTGTCTCTATTCACAGAGACTCTAGAACTTGTCCTCTGTATAGACCCTGTTCCAAGACAATGACAACAGAACCTCTGTCGTGTCTCACAGAGGGTCTGCAGTTAGTCTTCTGTGAGAATCTCTTTTAACTCGTTTTTTCTTAGGTTTATTAGCTGCTCATGCTGATCACATGATCTTGTCTGTAATCTGCTTTATTTGAACGGCTTAGATTAAATAGTACGTCTAGGTCTGTCATAGCAGCTTTAGGCCTTTGTAATTCGGGTGCTTCCATTTTGTAATTGTCGACATTTTCTATTGAAAATCCTTTGAAGCATTTTCTCCTTGTGTTCTTCAAGAGTTCTTCATTGTGTTCTTATTGATTGCTACCTGCTTGATTTACATACTGTCCGCTGCGTACTCAATGTCTATTTAATTAATCAAGTAATTTTTCAATACCCTGAACTGAGTAATACGGTCCAAGATTCTGTATTTACAAAATACAGTTCAATGGTTCCTTTTTTCTACATGATATTTAATAAAATGATACCGGATATCTATATGCTTGGTTTTTGTGTGTTGAACAGGATTACAAGAAATAGCAATAGCACTTTTGGAATCACAGTAAATGGGAATTTTATTAAAGTAGAACCCGTAGTCTCTGAGCTGTGTCTGCATCCATAACACTTGAGAACAGCAGCTTGCAGCAGCTACATATTCTGCTTCAGCAGTGGAAATGGATACGCAGTTCTGTTTCTTTGATGCTCAGCTGACTAACTTATCTCCCAAAAACTGTAGATGTCCTGATGTAATTTTCCTGTCCAACATACAGCCTGCATAGTCTGCATCTGAATAAGCTGTCAGTTCAAAACTAGTACCCTTGGGATACTAGAGTCCAAGATTAGCAGTCCCTTTGAGATATCGAAAAATGCGCCTAACGGCACTTAAATGCGACTCCTTTGGATTAGATTGATATCTGGAACAAAGATGTGCTGAAAACATAATATTATGTCTACAAGACGTCAAATACATTAAAGAACCTATCATGCCTCGATATGTTTTCTGATCTACAGCTTTTCCAGAAGGATCAACATGTATTTTCGTTCCATGAGCCATAGGTGTTTTGATAGATGAACAATTTTCCATATTAAATTTCTTCAGGATATCTAAAATATTTTTTTTGACAAATAAAGATACCCGAAGATAATTGTTTTACTTGAAGACTTAAAAAGAAGTTCATCTCACCCATCATACTCATTTTAAAACGCGAAACCATTAAGGCAGAAAAGTTTTTGCAGTATTTTGGGTTTGTAGATCTAAATATTATGTCGTCTACATAAATTTGTATCAAAATAATATCAGACTTTTTCTTTTTAATGAAAAGGGTTATGTCAATATTACCTTTCGAGAAGCCTGACTTTACTAGAAACTCTGATAAAATGTCAGACCAGGCTCTCGGAGCTTGTTTAAGACCGTAAAGAGCTCGGTCAAGGATGTAGACATGATCCAGCTTTGACTGATCAACAAAACCCTCCGGTTGTGAAACGTAGACTTTCTCTTTGAGAAGACCATACAGAAATGTTGTCTCGACGTCCATCTGGTACACTGTGAAATTCTAGTGTGCCGCATACGCTACAAACATTCATATTGCTTCAATCCTTGCAACCGGGGCAAAAGTTTCGTCGTAGTCAACGCCTTCTTGTTGATTATATCTTTTAGCGATGACCCGGGCCTTATTTCTGACCACAACACCATCTTCGTCCTTTCTATTTTTGAATACCCATTTTGTACCGATAATTGTCTTGTTGTTGGGACGTGGTACCAATCTCCAGACTTTGAGTGCTTCGAACTGGTTCGGCTCTTCTTGCATGGAAAGTATCCAATCCGGATCAGCTAAGGCTTCGGATACCTTAGTCGGCTCAATATTACTCAAGAACGTGGAGTATAAACACTCATTAGCCGTCGCAGACCGTGTACGAATGGGTGCTGATGGATCACCAATTACTTGATGTATTGGGTGATTTCAGGTCCACTTCTTGCTATGAGGTAGGGAAATGTAGGAGCTTTGATCTGAGTTTTGATCAGTGTAAGTACTTAGGGAGTTTATAGGAACAGGTTCAGGTGAAAGTTCAATATTTGAAACTAGAATAGGTTGAATATCTGGTTGAGGTAGGATATTTTCGTCTTGTCTGACCGATACCTCTTGCACTTCAGAATTTTCACCCTCTTCACGCTGAACTGGATTGTTAGGATTTTCCATCTCTATTTCTTCATCCACCACTTCCGTTTCTTCTTCTGTTTCAATTACTAGCACATCGGGAGATGGACCAGATAACTGTTGTTCACTTGGAATATCCCTGGACAAAACATTAGATTGATTAGATTTGTTTTCAAAATATTCTTCATAAAAGTTCTCAAATAAAGAATCTAAATCAGCTTTATCAAAATTAGACGACTCAGGTTGATCAGCTTTCTGCGTAGTATTAATTATCAGCCCGGGTCCTGAACTGAATTGTTCAAAAGCCACATCAATGACTTCATCAAAGGAGACGTTCACGCTCTCATTGATGATTTTGGTCCTTTTATTGTAGACCCTATACGCAACATATGTCTTTGAGTAGCCAACAAAGACTGCTTCATCAGCTTTAGCAGCGAACTTCCCTCTGTCCTCTTTTTTATTTAAAATAAAGCACCTGCAACCAAAAACTCGGAAGAATTTGATATTAGGTATTCTTTTATTTATTATTTCATACAGAGTTTTACCAAACCTTTTGTTTACGAGTGAGCGGTTCTGAGTAAAACAAACAGTCGCCACTGCTTCAGCCCATAAAAATAATGGAAGTTTGGAGCATGTAAGTAATGTTCGCGCCGCTTCCACCAACGTTCTGTTCTTTCACTCAACGACACCATTCTGTTGCGGTGTCCGGGCTACCGAAAATGTATGTGAAATACCGATGGATTCGAGGAATGAACCGAGTGTGTTGTTCTTGAATTCAGTTCCGTTGTCAGTTCTGATTTTCTAAACTTGAAGTTACAGATTATTTTGGACTGTCTTCAAGAATAAAATTATTGTCTCGGCCGCTTCATCCTTTGACTGCAGAAAATGAACCCAGGTATATCTAGAATAGTCATCGACTATGACCAACACATACTTCTTAATGTTTATGCTTTGGACTCGCATAGGACCACAATATGGAGTAAGTGTAGAGGACGTCGGTGTTGAACTCTGTCTTCAGCTTATGTGAAGCTTTCTTCAGTTTACTCATCTCACATGCACCGCATACGTGGTCTTTATGAAACTTCAGGTCTGGGATGCCTTTAACCAAGTTGTCACAGACCAACTTGTTCAAATATTTGAAGTTCAAATGAGAAAGTCGTCTATGCCATAGCAGATTCTGCTTCAAGGATGCCTTGGATATCAAGAGACGTCAGTATCCACTTGTGTATTGGATAGGAGTATAAATCTTTGGTTCAACAGGTTTTGATTCAAGCTCTGCCTTTGAATAACTGTGGAAATAATCTGTTGAAAGTGCAGAGTCTTGATTTTTATAACTTTCATTTAGGTTTGTATAATCAAACGGAACCTGTATTTTGTCTTTTCTTTGTCGATTGTAATCTTCTCGTTGTTCCACCTCATCAGAAGATTTTATAAATTTTACTGAAAATTCGAGACCGCAATCAAGATATTCAAATTTGTATAAGTCGGGGCATAATATAAAGCTTTTTCTAAAAAATTCGGATTTTCATACCCCAACCCTTCCCGAGGGTTAAAAAATCTTGTTTCAGATGGTTTGTTTAGGAAAATGGTTTGATCAGTTTGTCCTCTTTTATACAAAACTTCTTCTTTAGACTTCAGTTTTTCATTTAAATGAATTATTTGAAGTTCAAGCTTACTTATTTTAACTATTTGTTCTTCATTAACCAATTCTAATGTTTATATTGTTCCTTTAAGTCAGATAATTCGGTTTTTAAGATATTGGACTTTCATCAAATAATTTGGATTCAGATAACAAAGATT